TACTGCTACTGCTACTGCTACTTCAGTGTGCAGGGAATTTAGAGCAACTACTTGAAAAACAATTCTTGGTTAACTTGCAATCTTGTCAGCTTGGTCATATTGCTCGGCCACTGTTCACCTTGGTCATCTTGCAATCTTGGTCATCTTGCCCCATTTGCTTCCCCACTTGCCCCACCTCGCCGAGTAGTTTACCACTTAGACCAAGATGACCAAGATTGCATGGTCATCTTGCCCCCTCCTTCAAGTGGGGCACATGGGGGCAAGATGACCAAGATTGCTGACAATCTTGCTCAAAATAATTGTTCTAAATCCCTGGCACACTGTAGTACAATTACTACTACTGCTGCTGCTGCTACTACTGCTGCTACTACTACTACTCCTCTTGGTGGTGGTGACGGTGGTGGTGGTGCTGCTGCTGCCGCTGCTGTATTCATGCCTGCAAGTCTGTTGCGCGTGCTGTGTGGGATTGGCGCAGCCGGCCAGAGGTCTGGCAGTACGTGACGGAGCTCTTCGACTATCTGCCCATCGCTGCATCGGTACGATCCGTCCTGCGCTTGCTTTCGGTGAGTTAAGCTAGGCTCCTGAGTAGTACCCTTTTACCTTTTTTTTCGGGTCTCTTTATGAAAACCGAATATTAGGGTTTAGGGTACCCTTATTATTAAGGTCTTACTGGGGAACCTGGTAAGGGATCTCAACTCCTCGGTGTGAAACTCTGGGCCTGATTCATCAGGCTTGTTTATATAGGGTAGTTCTCTAAATGAGGTGTTTTTTTTCATAAGGGTGCCGTAGTATATTGGGGACCCAGGAAAGGGACCCCAATTTTAGAGATCTACTCCTAATACTGGAAGAGCTCCTTCAATAAAAGCCTTGTTTCCAACTTAAGAGCCTCAGAGACCGGGGACTGCCAGAGGGCCCCATTTTCCCTTCAGACACAGAGACAGAACAAAGCGTTAACCAGTCCCAAACCCCCGGGTACTTACTGTATAGGGTACTAGAGCCCTAGGTACCTGGAGGGTTAGGGAGTGTATGCTCCGTAATTCCAGCGGGCCTTGGACTCTCTGTGAATTAGCAAGACAGGTTGCCTCGGGCTTAGGGTTTAGGGCTTAGGGTTGAGGGTTTAGTTGCTTCGTTGAGCTGCAGCTCCGCATTGCCGCTTCCTGCCGTGCAGTTTAGGGCACTATAGGGCAAATCGCACAGCATTAAGCAAATGTGATAGACCCGCTAGACGCTGGACCCTGGAAGACGGCACATGGGATTTCATGGCTATAGACTTTATAGAGGCTCGGAGAAGAGAAGAGTGCCCGGCTCATGGAAACTTGCACAGTGCCAATCCTCGACGCAAACTGCTGGGCCATAGATCACATAGTAGTAGTATAGAATTTTATAGTATAGTATATTATATTATACTAT